AAAGCAGTTTTGATTTTTATGATATTTAATTCATTCAATATAATTAATGATTCATAAATAAAACCTAAAAAAGTGTATGCTTATCATAATAGCCAAATTATTTTTTTTCTTATTATCTGAAAATCACCCAATCAAATTTCAACACTACTATACATACTATATGTACTATACACAATATACATAAAGTATCATAAAGTATCATATAGTGTTCAACTATATGCCATTTGCCCATCCCTAAGTAAAATAGACCTATGAAAGGATAACCAAGACACCTAAAAACCTAAAATAGTTTATGTTTCAAAGACCCAAATGGTGCTGTCCCCAATGTTGCGATAACAGAAATGAGACCTAGCACATATTGTGGCATGGGTTCTTGTAATCTACAAATTAATTCAAAAATTGCTGTGCCTTCTTGTGACACTTGTATGTTAAGATACTAATTAATATGAATTTTATAAGTAAAAAAATTGTCCATCAATTCATACTCCTAAATCAACATTTATTCCACAATTTGAATTGAGATTTGATTACAGAATAATTTTTATGGTTGGCTCAGTCTAAAGACCTCCCATTGCTGCGCCACGCGCTCAAATTTCAAAAATTGCAATTTCGTGATTTGTTCAAAATTTTTTAAAAAAGGGTTACACGTGATTTTGGTTTCCTTACTGCCAAATTTAAATATGATGGTCGAGTCTTAGACCAAATTTAATAATGATGATCAAAAACCAGTCTAAATTTAGCAATGATCCTAGTGCCAAATTTCTCATGAGCATAGTAAAGTACGTTTTAAAAAAGAATAGAATTCTACAACAAATAATTTTTTGGAGAAAATCTCTTCATTAAATTAAAAGTAGAAACCTATTTTACCAACTAATGAGGCTATTTTTTTAAAAGATAGGACAGAAAATGACTTCTATACTTTTAAAATTTGCCCAAAATTTAGGAGGTCTTTAGACTGAGCTAACTATACTAAAAATCTTCATTTATCAACTTAGTTGTGAAAATGACTGGAAAATCAATCTTATGTAAACCTACGTAAGGTTCAAATTTGACCAGCATTGTGCAGAATTGTTTTAGATAATTTTTTAATATGTTAAAACAAGCAAACTTTATGGGATTTTTTTAACCATTTAAATACAATGCTTTCATTTACAACTGATGAAAATATTCTGCTGGGAGTCAGTATATACACATTTCCACAGGGTTGCCCTTTACATTCAAATAGTAAAACAGACCTGTGAAAGGACAACCAAGGCATTTAAAAACCCAAGACAGTTTATGTTTCAAAAGATCCAAATGGTGCTGCCCCAATGTTATGACAACAGGGATGAGATCCAGCACATATTGTGGCATGGGTTCTTGTAATCTACAAATTAATTCAAAAATACTGTTTCTTTTTGTGACATTTTTATGTTGAAAAACTTTTAGTATAAAGATATGAATTCTAATTTTATAGGAAAAATTTTCTGTCAAAACTAAATAAAAGCATTATTTATTATTGGTTTTAGAATGAATAAATTTAAATGTACTGACAAAATTCATTATAAATAAACATGATCGATTCAAATGTAATTCTTTCTGGTATTAACTACTCTTTTCAGATAAAACTCTCTAATTGATTCACACCTTTGATACATAACTTTGTGACTAATGAGCCTGGATTGAAAGTTTTAATATTATATTGTTAATTGGGAGGAGCTTCAATATTTGAATCTACATTTATTAATACCACTTCTCAAACTAGTGATGGTTGCTGAAACTATTTTGAAGAAACGAAAGTCAAAACTAAAATTAAAATTTATATGCCAAAGCTAAATCAAAAGTCAAAAGTCAAAGGTCAAAACTAGTTTCGACTTATGGCGAAACCTTTTGACTTTCACACAGTTGCGAAACTCTCTAGTTTTGGAAACCAACATTATCTCAAACTCAATATTATGTGGATAATAATTATATTTAATTTAGAAAAAAATATATAAAGTACATGTAAAATAATAATAAATAATAAAGAAAATAAAATAAATTTTTTTACTGATTTTGATTTTTTAAATAGTTGATGGATTTTTCCATTTCAGAACAATGCTGATTTATTATTAGCATATAATCCTTAATAAGTGACATACGATGAGAAATAGAAAGAATTAAAGAATTATTGTTATATTTGAT